GGTGGTGACTGATGAGAAGTACACAGTATCAGTCTGGACACAGGGTTAGTGCTGCACCTTAACAATCACAACACAAGTCTTTGTAGACCTTATATACTACCGAGAAAGATGCAGAGCTTTTGTAAATTGCAAATAATCATTTTAGTTTGTCTCATTGATTGTGAAAATAATGTTGTAATTAGCATAATGTGATATAATTAATTGTCCTCAAAGAACATGTATTGTATGTGTGAAAGTCCTTTGCCATCATTTACTACTCATGAATTATGACATTATCATATCAATTATGCGGATTTGACACTTATATGCATATTTGTTATCTGCAAAAGTCCAATTAACCTGCCATAGATTGCATTTGTTACATGTATTATGTGAAACACTGGAATTATAGAATGTCCTTATCAATTATGTAAATTAGGTCATATTTACATATTTCATTGTGTTTATCTCTGTCTAAACAATATAAATACCAAATACCATGAAAATCTTTTGTTCCTTTTTTTACTTTTCCTCTTTTAAAGATTTTAGTAAAAAACACTGCTCGGGGTTGCAACCTTTAGAATTTTTCTTTGACATAAAAACTTATCTGTCACCAAAAAATGAAGATCCTGGCATGTCCTTGACAAAAGATAGAAAATCTGCAAGTTTTGCTGTAGAACCAATGGCAGCCGCCAGGAGGCCCACATTTGACCATGGCTATCCATCCAGACCTTCTTCAGAAGTCATGCTGACCACAAATGAGCCCAAACACTAGCACCGAGTACACCCAAAACACTACCTCCGTTTTTTACATAGAGGTAACAAGGAAGACCAGTAAAATATAAGACTACTGTTATGTCAAGGCGAAGGTTTACCCTGGTTCCCCAGATCGTGTCGGTGTAAGCTTGTGTCAATCTCTCCCTGCACCATCCGGCGGTACACGTCTGAAACACAAGCACTACAGTCACGTCTGAAACACGTCTGAAACACAAGCACTACAGTCATGTCTGAAACACAGGCACTACAGTCACGTCTGAAACACAAGCACTACAGTCACGTCTGAAACACAGGCACTACAGTCACGTCTGAAACACAAGCACTACAGTCACGTCTGAAACACAAGCACTACAGTCACGTCTGAAACACGTCTGAAACACAAGCACTACAGTCACGTCTGAAACACAAGCACTACAGTCACGTCTGAAACAGGCACTACAGTGACGTCTGAAACACAGGCACTACAGTCACGTCTGAAGCACAAGCACTACAGTCACGTCTGAAACACAGGCACTACAGTCACGTCTGAAACACAAGCACTGCAGTCACGTCTGAAACACAAGCACTACAGTCACGTCTGAAACACAGGCACTACAGTCACGTCTGAAACACAGGCATTACAGTCACGTCTGAAGCACAAGCACTACAGTCACGTCTGAAACACAGGCACTACAGTCATGTCTGAAACACAAGCACTACAGTCACGTCTGAAACACAGACACTACAGTCACGTCTGAAACACAGGAACTACAGTACAGTCACGTCTGAAACACACAAACACTTTCGTCATGACTGAAACACAACCACACTGTTCCCATAGAAACCACCTGTTATAGCCGGCACAGTTTCACTCTGCCTGAGTTTTTGCCAAGAGGTACAAAATTAATGTATATTATAACGTGAATATCCTTTGATTTCTGACGCTTACTTGGAAAAGTTTACATAATACATGTATATAGTTAAAATGGACAACAAAATCCTCTGTTCCTGTACAGGACAAAATAATCGTAACGGTTATAAGTAATTGCAGACAAACAATAAACCAACAAACAAACTTCACTAACATTCTTACCTCTGTACACTTCTACCTCTTCCATGCCGATCAGATTATGGACCACCTGAAGCAAGGGATTAAAAAAACAAAGGCACACAAAATAAAACATGAAAACACACCAAATTTAAAAAGATAGTTCTTTATCTATGAAATTCGCTGAGCGATGTGTCAAACATTTGTTAGCTCAGCGGTAGCAGCCTGTGGTGGTAACGGGGTGTTAGAACATGGACCCTGACGTTGAACTATGGGATCATAGGTTGGAGTCTGCCAGTGCTAGGGCACGTAGTGACAAACTGTCGTATGTGACGAACCGTCTGGCGTTGATAGTATTTTATTAGGCAACATGACACAGTACAGAGACACAGTGGTCAGTCTGACGCTCTCTAGCGAGATGCTAATTTTTCAAGCAGATTAGGCGGGGCAAGGGGACTTATGTTGACCGCCTGTATCCATCGTCCGCCCAATGACATAGGCAGCCAATGAATACAGGCGGCCAACATAAATAAAAGTCCCCTTTTGCCCCACCTATTACAAATCTGCATGGAGATATTAGTCTAACCCTACCAGGTAGCCATCCCGGCTGAACCGCTCTGCCCACTTCTCCCGCGGCTGCTGAAGGAGCCAGTCCTCGGGACCCTGTAGGGCCGGCCACTGCAGCTCGGAACACATCGTCAGGAGACGAGGGGGGGGGGGGGGGAGCGGAGAGCCAGTCTGGCGCACAGGGATAGCTGCAGTTACAGTAGTTTGTAAGGGGGTTTATTGAAGTCCAAAGTACAAAATCCATGTTTGTAGTTTGAAGGTTGCGACAGCCGAGAAGGGACAGCTGCAGTTCCTTTGCGGTCCGAAGTATGTCCTCACACACGTATGAGAAGAGAAAAGCGATATTAAATTCGCAGAGGTTTTGTGTTATGAGAGCCCAGACCCCCTGAGAGGCGTCGCCAAAAAAAATACAGCTTATTTTAGGCCCATGTAACCCCTGTCTTAGGAAGAACATTATGACCTCGGTCTTAGACATCACTTTGTGTATTGTTTAATTTTTATGTCAATGCCCGTTTGAAGAAACCTTTATTTGAGGTTTTTAGACTATCTATCCAATGATGAAACATGTTAGCTTGTACTTGTAGGATCACTGCACTACAGAACCCGTACACGTGGCCGCCATGCGGAATTGATATGAACTGCACAGCTAACAACTTTTGTCAGACACCTGTTACTTCAAGCCCGCGCCCCCAAACCCCTATCGTATCCAGGACCGTGTATATCAAGTTCTGTGCCTAAATGGGTCAGGGTTAGGATTCTGGATAGTCTCCGCGTATCCAAGAAGTTGATTTGTCCCAGCACGGTTCTGGTCCTTGAGCTCTACCATGGTTGTCTAAAAATAAAGCACAGTTCCTGATACAACAACCGCATAGTACGTTTGGGTACAATCCCTCTAGATTCCTACAGTTGTGAAGTAAAACATCTGTGTTTCTTATCATAACTCTTGGTGTAAATTGTGTTTGAAACTTTCCCTCGGGTAGCTGGTAAGGGACATAACGGTAAATGTGGAACAGTCCAGTTTCTGCGGTGTGTAACTTTTATGCAACGTTATATATAGCCAGTTTATTTAAAGATTTCCAAACCTAAATTCTATTAAGATAAATTTGATATATAGTGCAATGTCTACCCTAATTTTGTTTGCCTAAATTCGTCTTTTCGCCATAAAAACGTTCTCTATAAAGAAATGTCACCCCTATGGTGCAATCGACTCTTCCAATTTCCAAGATGGCTGAAGGCGGAAGTGAAGTGGTCAAGGGCAGGTTCGAAACTTCGGTGCGGGAATTCCAGGGAAGATTCCAGAGAAAAGTGAGTGAAAATACCATACTTAGACCTTTCAATGTTTTTAGAACCACTAGATGCGGGATTTTAAGGACCGATTTTGAACTTAAAGGCTTTTGAGACAAGAAATCGGAGGTTCTTCCAGACTTTCCTGCAAGTATAATGGCGTTTTCGAGAATTTGTTGGAACAACCATGGAGGCTCTTCTACATTCATGGAACAACCAATAATGTGGAACCTTTGGGAAAGGCTGCGGACTTTACACGACTTTAACTCAAGTGAAAATGAGTATTGTCCTGTCCTGTATTTGTCCTCTGTGTTGGTGGTGGTATAAAATAACTTGATATATTAACTTGAGTGTGTCGCCACCACGACTCTAGTCATGAAATGTTGAAAATATGATTTATAACGTTACATGTAACGTTATATAAAAATAGAGGAGATAATATTTGTATGACGTAGTATTAGGATAGAGTCTGCCCAGGGTAACAGGGACATACCTGGGCCTGGGCCTCTGTTTCAGATTTTCTGAACTGAACTAAATCAACTCACTGTACATTCCCTCGGTTGTCTGACCTTTTGACCTCCTGTCATGTATCATGCCTTATAAGGAAGATATGTTTGGATTTACTGATTTGGTAGGTCTGTATGTGTTGGAAAGGCAAAGGTTAAAGTTGTAGGCACTGCTCACCTACATATGGATGTGTTTGAGTAAGAATATTTACAAAAGTAACTGTAGTTTGTTCTAGGTTAGACCATGTGACATGTGATACACCTGTCACACACCTGACACCTGTCACACACCTGACACCTGTCACACACCTGACATCTGTCACACACCTGACACCTGTCACACACCTGGCACACACCTGTGATGCATTTATCACACACCTGTGATACACCTGACACCTGTCACACACCTGGCACCTGGCACACACCTGGCACCTGGCACACACCTGTGATGCACCTATCACACACCTGTGAGGCTGTGATACACCTTTCACACACCTGTGATACACCTGACACCTGTCACACACCTGACATCTGTCACACCTGACACATACCTGTCACCTGTTTAGGTACTCTTATTTCCCAAGGACTGAAAGAGACTGGAATGAGCTTCCGCAGGCCCTACCAGAAATACTAGAGGCCGACAAGTTGAGTAAGGAAGCTGTTCTTCTATGCTTGAGGAGTATTTAGAGCGCTGCGCACTCCCCCCTGCGTGCTTGACCCCAACCGAGGGGTGTTACGCAGTTATCAAGATCAAGATCAAAACCTACCTGACACATATCCTGTCACACACCTGACACCTGTCACAAATGCACCTGTCTGTTTCAGGAGTCACCACAAACCTGACACCTGTGTAAGTCACCATGCCAGACAATCAATGGGCTGCCGGTAATTCTGCAGGTGAGAAACTACAATTTAAGGCATTAGGAAAGGACATGAAATGTTGTTGTTTACCTACGCAGAAGGAAAAATATTGTTTTTGCTCTGTGTCTTCTTTTTTTGTGGGTTAATGACCTTGACCAGACAGCTGTCACTGGGTTTAACTGATGCTTTAGCAGACACCCTGTTTCCTTGATTTACTTTAGCTAGTTGAAGGGGCTGTGTCTGAGTAAGAATCCTGCAGTAACTGTAGTTTGTTAATGTTACTAACATTAACATTGTTAGGCAAGACCATGTGAAGGTAAGCATTCGTTATTTGCTAAATACAAATATTACCTTTTAGTTTTATCCTGTTTTACATCATCAGACCCCAGGGCAGTTTTGCTGGTCATCGACAAGTACACCACATCCGTCAACCGGGAGGTGGCACAGGTCCTGACAGGGGCAGGGAGGAAAGTCTACTGCACAGTTCTGCAGGCTACAGAAGAGGACAGGAAAGCTGCCAAAGCTGATGGAGTCGAGCTCATCCTCCCAAACCGCAGTCAGGAAGATGAAAGAGAACCAAATCTGAAGTGGCTGACCTTTGACCACCCCAGCCGCTATCCCAGACTCCCCGAGGATGTGGGGTACATTGTGGGTCATGCTGGCATCACCAGCAAAGCAGCAGCAGCCATTCAGGAGCAGCGTTTCCCCCAAGCTAGCCTCGGTCTTGTCATCGGGACGATACCAGAGGACACAGATAGGTACAAGGATGACGAGGAGGCCATGGGCATTGGGAGGAAGGAAGACTCCATCAGAGAAGATGCAGAGAAGGCAGATGTTGTGTTCTCTGTGGGACACAACATACATGACCACTTCACAATTTCCTTTTGTGCAATCCCTGAAACCAAGAATCCGACCCACCATCTCTTCCTGCCCAAACCATCAGACTTTTTCCAGAAAACTACAGTAAAGTACAGGGGAACCAAGCAGAAGGTTGTCCTATCCATCGGTGGGGTCAATAAGGTAGAGAGGGTCAAAGGTTATGACTTTGTAGCTAAGTCCTTGGCAAAGGTGGCAGAAACAAGTCTGGAGAGGATCCTTTGGCGGATTTGTGATATAAGTGAGGAGGAGTTTCAGGCCACTATGTCCATTCTCCAAGCCAGCATCAACTCAGGAAAACTGATCCCCACACTTCTCCCACACTGCAATCAGGAAGACATCTGCCGACACATGCAGCAGGCCCACCTGGTTCTCATGCCCTCCCGTGCAGAACCCTTCGGACTGGTCGGTCTGGAGGCCATGGCAGCCGGAGTGCCGGTCCTCATATCTAACCAATCAGGACTGGCGACTTTGGTTGAAAAGGTCATCCCGGAATTCCACCACTCTATACTTGAAGTAGAGGGCGACGATACTGTAGATGTCGGGCGTTGGGCAAGTCAGATTAAGAAAGTCCTAAGGATGTCCGAAGCAGAGTTCAGGAGGGCAGCTGACCTTAAAGCAAAGCTACTGCAGTCCAGGTACTGGGAGGAGTCTCATCAAAACTTACTTCAGGCATTTGGAGGTGCAGGTGAGAAGACTGGAATATTGACCATTAACATTTTTTTAAACAGTTTTTTTTTCTTCAGAAACTCACATATCACAATACAATCCTTCACCTTTAACTATTTTACTTGGTAGGCTGCCATTTAGGAATGGCATTAAACTGTTTCTCTAGCACTCCAAGCAAAAAAACACGCCAACAATGTTCATTTTGTCCTTTTGTAGAGTTAAATGCTATTGATAATTGTTTTCTCCATGCAGTTAGTATTAAACTGTTTCTAACGAGCTCCCTTTACCTGCTCCTGTAGCTGAGAGGGTGAAGACAAGAACTCGACTGTCATCAGATGTGGCGCATACCAGGCTGGCTGCTGGGAATCCTGGTGAGTCTGATCACTATCAATGCCTGGCTGGCTGTATCTGTTACTATCTTACTGAGGATACACTAAGACTTGTATCACTGTTTGTACAAATGCATAGAGCTTTGTCACCATGACCTGTATTTAGCCTGTCAAGGTATAAATGTGCAATAAAGGCCTTTCAGTCATTCATTGTTACTCCGTGAAGGAGGTCTGGACCTCCGGACAGAGTGTTGTGAACAGCCGTTTTTTTGTGTTCGCAGTCAAAACACTGGGTTCTCTAAAATGTGTAATCTACACGCAATTTTATATGCCGTCTGTGGGCATGCCCGTGATGATGCACGAATGTGTATTTTTGCCGTTGCTGCTTTCACAGTCAATGTAATATTTCAAATGCACCCCTACAATTTTGAGGCAAATTGGAATGGTCCAGAAAACCCGTTTGTTGGCCAGAAAACCCGTTTGAATAGCGGGGGGGGTGGGGGTGGGGGTCGGGAATCCTCTAAGCAGATGTGAGAAGCGGCCGATAAGTGGTACCAGATTTTTTTCCCCGTGCTTAAGAGATGCTTAAGGTTTTTGGAAGATGTTCGCAGCCAAAACGCATTGTTCTGTACGTAGCATTTCTGTGTAATTGGGCATGTGGTGTACCATTATGTCTGTGATGTTGCACGTCTTTTATTTTCACCGTAGCAGTTTTGATATTGAAGTAGATGCATATTTCATATTTTACAAACATCCCTACTTTTACAATCCTGTGGAATAGGCCGTAGGTTTAGGTAGTTGCCTGGTAGCAGAGGTTCTCTAAGCAGATATTAGGTGGCTGTTGTGCATATTGTGCTGTTGTGGCGAGTATCTTTTGGGATTGTGGCTTTCACTGCGATACCTTGTCAAATGAATAATATGTAGTAAATGAAAGATATTGTTATGAAAGCTGACTTTGTTCATCTATTTAGATTGTCGTGTTGATTTTATGTAGCCTGTGCTTACACTAGTCAGTCTGCAACGTAACTGTTTCCCCAAGGGGGCGGCAAACCTCTGGGCAGGTAGCCACCAGGAGCGCGATTTTTGAGTCAGGCTAGATTATTAGTAAAGGGATTTAGCCAATTTTACTATACGTTGTTACCAGTTGTTAAGTGATCACACAGACTCAGTGTTTACATACAATCTGCAAAATATAGAACGTCACGGAGAATTGTCGCCTATGGCATAGCGGACTATGGACACTTGTTTCATTTCAAACAGTAGCAGGGGTAGGAAAGTTTACCTCGGTTGTCTCCAAGATGTTGTTGTTACATTTGTACAGTCACTGTAATTTTCATGCTTTGAAGAATTTCTGCATATATTATACATATATAATATATTTACCCAGTAAAACATTTCTCAACCTACAGAACTGCACTGTTCAGCCCCTACAGTCCTTCCTGTACGCCTACAGCTGGATCTGGAGCCACAAACATCTGCTCAGGGGGGCATCAGTAGAGAATGCAAGCAACAACTCTTGGCACGTATTTTGGAACTGGAGCGTACGCTATTTACTACAGAGGTGTTAATGGATGACGATCGCCGCAAAAAAGCAGAACAGGTTTTATTGTCACACAAGGCTTTCCTAACGGGTCTCCTTAGTGGCTCTGTCATCCTCCTCCTGACGTTCCTGCGCCAGACTGATGTGGACAGGTTCTACCACAACCAATACAGGGTGGGAGAGGGAACCCTGTCTCAACAACTCTCACACATCCTCATCTCAGACGACCTACAGGACAAGGTCAAGGGCGCCCAGCTGATCGTGAGGCTCCAGGTGAAGCATGAAGACTATGTGCCAGTCCGAAACAGACTGGGGCAAGGTGATTAATACAACTTCATACTTAATGTAAATATTAAAGTTCCGGTTAGAATTGGGAGAAAATTTTTCATTGTTTATCAAAATACCTCTTGAAACACTGTTCTTTCATTGTTTACATAATACGTGTACTTGCTATAGAAATCAAAATTCCTCTTGAAACAATGTTACAGTTTTTTCATTGGATTCACAGCCAGAATAGTGGCATATTTTTTTACACCAATTTCACTGTAACATAGACTAACACGTTAATTTTCAATCAATGTTATGTGCATCAGTGCAGGTATGCAAAAAAATGGATTTCAAGTTCCGCCACAAAGACCAGATTTTATTGTCCCCATAGTGGTCTTATTGTGTAGGTTTGACTGTAGATTTATGTTCTAGCTTTGATTGAAAATGGGAATTGATAGAAAGTTTTGCATCTCATTCTGAGATCTATATGTCATCCATTGCTGTACTGTTTCTGATGAACAGGTCTGGGCCGTACCGCTTCTGTCGACAACCTTCTGGCCCTGCCACCCCCCAGCAGACATGTGGACCATTCCAGCCTTAGAGGTCTAGACCTGGCTGTGGTGAGTAGAGAGGACCAGCCCTCTACAGATGGGACTGACGACATCCCAACCCTGAACTTCACAGCCAGACAGGCACAGGCAGCCATCCAGACAGCTAAGGAGAAAGCACAAGTCAGGCATTTCGAAGGTGAGCTCCAGGCAATGAGGGAACAGTTACATTGTTAAAGAAAGTAATCTGGGAAACAAAGAGGATGGTTTAAAGAGTCTTGTGATTAGTATATGTTGCCATCACTTTAAATGTCCTGTGGGGCCTATATAGGACCCTGTATATGTATGATCATTTCTCAGATGAACATGTCACACCATAGCAAAACTGACCAAATGCAGATCCGAAGTAGATCTATGATCTGATTAAGACATCCAATTATTGAAAAATTTCCTTCGTTTTCCCAAAACCTAATCAGATAGCAAATATCATAATATGGATCCTTGCACAACTTTTAAATTTACGCTGTCCACAAATAAATGCAGACACACAACCATGCACAAGTAGTACAAAACTGAAACCTTCCTCCTGCTGGAGTGATGAAGGTATGGTCCATTGTGTATGGCACCACATCAGTACACATGCGTGCCATTTGCTCCAGTTTTTTTTTCTGTCAGCAGATCGAGCATTGGGTCAATGATAATCAGGAGAGGCAGGTTTTGCTGATGCCAGATTTAGCATGAAGCTTGGTTCTCCTTTGCAGGTGTTCGAAAGTACTTTTTCCTCATCAAGGAAGAGGTCAGGTTTGATTGGACGGACCTGGCCTTCCATCTTGACTTTCGGAGATCAGACATCAAATACATCGAGAGTAAAAACCTAGATGACAAGTCCCGCTGTATGGACCTGTTGGAGGAATGGCTGAAGCGGAACAGGGAGAGAGCCACCATAGAGGCTCTGATGGAGGCTCTGTCAGAGGCAGGGTTACTGAGTACTCTGGACAGACTGAAGAACAAACACCCTGGTAATTATAGCATGTCATTTTGTCTTCTTAGTTATTGTTAAAGAAAGTTATTCAACATGTTGGAAACAAAGATTGCCTAATATCCAGTACGTATGACACATTGTATGTTTCAGTCTGCAACTTTAAACATTTGATATAAAAAATGTGACAAAGATGGCTAAAAAATTGAAATATTCAATATGTTTGATCAACATGAGAGTTTATGCTTAACTGATGGTGACAGTCAGGTACCATGAAATCTATTAATTACAATACTGGCACTGTTGCATTTAATTCCTATCAGAGTTGGACATACCAGTTCCTGGTCACTCAAGTCTACTCAAAAGGAAAAGAGAGGATGAGGATGGGGAGTTTCCAGCAAGGAAAAAACCTTATTACTGCAAGATGGAAGGTAAGGCTTACCTTCCATAAAGGGACCTAAATTTTCATTATCATAGCTGTGTACAAAAATGTATATGCTTGAGAATAGTGTAGATATTCATGTAACGTGCAACAATTATGGAACAGTCCACTTGTGGTAGAAAAGATTTTGGGATAGTCCACTTTTGAAAAAACACACACAATAACACACACACATTCTCTCACAAACTTTTGACAACATTGATCATTTGACTTTTTTTAATAATGTTCAGTTCTACCTCTCAAATGTAATTTTAGATAACTCCATAGCATCAGATGATTTTAATCTGATGAATTGTAAATATCCCTGCAGCTGACTTTTTATTCCTTGTGGCTAAAGGACTCTTTCTTATATCAAAGATACAGAGTACCTTTCTTACTGTGTGTGCTTTTTACACATTTTGTATTGCAGATTTGCTCCAGAAGTCTGTGAAGAAGTACTATGAGTTGAAACTGACTCGATTCAAGCCTCTGATCTGGAATGACAACTTCACACTTAGCCTCAGTGACATCTTCACCCAGTTAGAGTTAATACAAGAATCAAAACATAAAAGGTCAGAATCAATGAGGGAAGAACAGAGAAAAGAGCTTAAGTCATTAGACGACTTGTTCAACCCAGATGTCACAGGACTGTCCACAGCACCAAGTTGCATTCTGATTGAGGGTGAAGCTGGAGTGGGGAAGACAACGTTTCTGTCCAAAGAAGCCCTAGATGCTGTCTCACAGAAAACAAAGCTGGGCAGAGTCTCACAGAAAACAGAGCTGGGCAGAGTCTCACAGAAAACAGAGCTGGGCAGAGTCTCACAGAAAACAAAGCTGGGCAGAGTCTCACAGAAAACAGAGCTGGGCAGAGTCTCACAGAAAACAGAGCTGGGCAGAGTCTCACAGAAAACAGAGCTGGGCAGACGGCACGACATCATTCTGTTAATCCGACTCCGGGAGGTGAGAGAGGGGGAGACCATAGAGGAGATGGTGTGGGACCAGTGTGTTGATGAAACAACTGAAGGTATTGAATCAGATGTACAGTCCATTAGAACAATCCTACAAAGGAACGAGTCCCGTGTGCTCTTCCTCCTAGATGGGTATGATGAGCTGCGGCCTGAGGCCAGGGCAGCTGGGCAGGCCATTCCCAAACTGCTGTCTGGCAAGATGTACCCCAACAGCACGATTGTGATCACCTCCCGACCCTCAGCAGGAGTGCAGCAGTACACCCGGCCAGACTGTCATGTACACATCATGGGCTTCTCACCTAAACATGTGTCGAAATATGTGCAGAAATATTTCAGCGTCATGGGAAAATCTGAGCTAGCTGGGGAGCTTATTGGGTTTATTTACAGAAACCAAGCTCTCAGTGATTTGATCTGTTCACCATATTTCTTGCAATTGGTCTGTGTGCTGTGGGAGGAGGACCAAGAGATGGTGTCTACTGGAACAATGATGGGGCTGTACGACAACCTGCTGACATGTCTGGTCAGAAAGTGCTGTGAGCGGGAAGGAGTGGACATGCCAACAGAAGGGCTGCCTACAGAGGTTGCTGAGTCATTACTACAGCTTGGCAAGCTTGCACTAGAGGCACTGCTGAGGAATGAGACCCTGCTTGACCTTACAGAAGTAAAGAGAGAAAAGGTTAATTGGGAGTTACTGTTAAAGCTGGGTGTGGTCTCCTTGGAGGTTTCTTCCTCAAAATTGCACCCTAGGAAACAGCTGAACTTTTCACACAAGACCATGCAAGAGTTCCTGGCCGGACGATATGTAGCTCATGCTCAAGTGAACCAAGACATTGTTGAGCTGCTGCAGCTCACCTCCATAAGCAAGGCACTTGAACTCGGTAACCTGATTCAGTTCACATGTGGCTGTGACTCACGGACAGCACAAGCTGTGATGGAGGAACTAAGCAAGCTCAGCAGCAGAGAGTTCGCACACTTGAAACCAGAACAGTTTGAAAGATCAAATATGCCAATTGATCGAGACATGCAAAAGTCCTGCAAAATGTATGAAAGGTTTGCACACTTGTGCCTGAACATCCTTTGTGAGAGACAAGAACCAGAAGTGCTTCAGGGTATCTGTCAAGCCCTGCCAATTGTGATGCTGGACAACTCCGTTAACAGTAAAGAAGCCACAGCACTTAAGTATTACATACAAAATCTTCATTTAGCAAACCTGCCAGACAGGCTGATACTTAAGATCCGTGGAGACACTGACAGCAGAGACACAGTTCAGTACCTACAGCAGTGTTTTACAACTTCACTTCCTGGACTTAAATTGGACTTGGTACTATCAGGACAGTTTGACTCACCTGATCAGACAGCCAGGCTGGTTTCAGTTCTGAAGAATGTTCCCTGTCTGAGGGCACTGTATCTGTCAGGCACAAACCTAACACCATCATCACTCCAGCCACTTGTGCAGGGGTTCAGACACATGTCTCTGTTAGAGGAGCTGGATCTTTCTAACAACCCTGACCTTGGTGATGCTGGGATGGAAGTCCTACAGGTTGGGCTGTCCAGTGTTCCACACCTGGCTGTACTCCGTCTTAGGAAAGTTGGCATGACAGCTGTGGGCATGTCATCCCTGGCTCCCTACATGCACCACCTAGTGGGACTGAGAGAACTGGATATAAGTGATAATAAGATCGGTGACACTGGGCTGGAATCTCTCACCACCGTCCTCCACACCTTCACTGCCATGCAAGTGTTGGGCCTGAGGGAGACCGGTATCAGCCCCACAGGCATGCGCACACTGGTCCCTGCACTGTGTAAGTTAACCAGATTAATCAAACTGGACATTAGTGGTAATGCCATAGGAGACCCCGGGCTGGAATGCCTGGCTGCTATCCTCCACCACCTCACAGCCATGAAGGTGTTGGTTCTCAGTGAGACAGGTATCAGTGACAGGGGAATATCATTCCTGATCAAAGCTCTGCCTCACCTGGTGCAATTACAGGTGTTGAATATGAACTACAATAACATAGGAGACTCAGGGATTGTCTCACTGGTGCAAACACTCTGCCAGCCCAGCAGTTTGGACATGGAACAAAACCCACCTGGTGACAAGAGTCTGACCACAGCCCCTCACTATAACACCACACTACAGGAGCTGTACATCGGGTGGTATTGGGGAGTAACAGGAGCTGGACTGGGGAGGGTCGCACAGCTCATCAGCACACTGCCGGCACTGACCAGGCTGGACATGTCTGGTTACCCACACACACCTGCACACCTGTCTGACACCGCTGCCATGGATCTGGCCGAGGCTCTACCCAGACTCCCTGCTCTGGAGCAGCTGGACCTGGAGCACATCTCCATGGAGCCTGCAGGGTTCCAGGCTGTGGTGCAGGCTGCTGAGGAACACCCAACACTGAAGGGGCTGGGGTGAGTTATGCAATATACATTTGTGTTTTACTGCAAGTGTTATTATAGCTTTAATGGGGAAGTGTTTGTGGTTTAAAATAGATTTAACTTAAGAAAAATCTAATAGTATTTAATTATGCTTACTGAAAGAAATCATGTTGTTTTTGCTAGATGTTTCGTCTTCTCCAAACCAATAAGGTCAATGACCTGAACCAGATGTCTGTCACCATGGTAACCAGTGTTGGGTTACATCATGTTGCAGTTTCATAGCAGGAGGTATTTAGACTGACCATATATATGAATTTGTTTACAAAGCAGACCATATGCGAAGGTCAACAATATGCATTTGCTTTGCAAATGTTACCTTTCTTGTTCAATCTAATTCAACTGTACCTGTGCATACCTGGTACATTCCTGGTACATTCCCGGGTACATGGAGTGGTACATGTGTGGGTACATTTTACACTTTTACCAGTGCAATGCCTAGTGGCTAGAGTGAGAGACAAATCATTCTTTGGCACATTCTGCAGATCTGCAGTTGTAAGATTTAGGTTTTGACCCTACTATGCATACAACACTTTTCTTTACATTTTGCTTTCCCCATGTACAGGTACAACACAAGGCTAGTTCCTGAGGGAGCAGACACCACAGCTAGCTGCTTAAAGCTGTTCTAATTATAGCTCAGTGTGCACATTTTCACATCTAAAGACACTGCCATGTGTGACATTCATGCTCAGTTCTTACACGTAAAAAGTTTTTGTGGCCATGATCATCCACACTAAGTAAGTGAACCATGTCTTTATAAGCTGATCTTGAACCATGAAGAGAGAGAAGAATGGAAATAAGTTGACATCTACAAGATAAATGTCAATTGAAACTTACTAAACTGAGATGTGTTAATTGTACTGTAATGCAAAGTTGTTCATGGTTTGTATATTGAGTTTAGAGGAAGTTTGACTTGTTTGAATTATTGTGGATTACCCACGTCTGTGTAAACTGAACCACATTAGATTGTTGTGAAGGGGGTGTACAGTTAGAACAAATAGCAATTTTCAGTGCCACATCTGAGATTGACACTATCAATGTTGTATCAATCTTTTTAGCAAATTTGTACATTCATCTATGCAAATGTGCTCAGGGACATATCTATGTATGGACATTTTTTTGTATCATAGTAAAATTTTTTATACATGACATTTGTGAACAGTAAGAAATAAAATGATAACTATTTTATGCAATGTTGACTTTTTACTGTAGGGAAACAAAATAACTTACTAGATGTGGAATGTTAGACAAAAATTATAATCTTTAGTTTCTTCAGAATTCAGCCCAAAAGCTGTGTATATTTACAGGTAAGGATACCATGTGGCAATAAGTTCATTAATGTGGCTGAAATCAGACAAAACATCAGTGGCAAAAATTAATTCTGAGAAAAAGACCTTTACTGTTAACTGTTATAGTATAGCTGAGATCTGAAATCAGCACAAACATCAGAGGAATAATTAGTTGTGACATTTAAAAAAAATAGTCCATGCCTGCAAAATTCTTACCTTGCAATATTTACTTTGCTGAGAGGTCACAAAATCATTTCTATAAACCACGTCACTTTACAAATTAAATGTTAAACATTTGATAAACCAAGGGTCAGTAGTTTCTAAGTTGTGTGCTGACTGACTATTACCAACAGGACAATGTCAGGAACATGTTACAGCTGTGAGATGGAAGAGCTAGCTAGGGCGTGCTCGTGTGGCATTTGGTACTCTCCAAGTAGAATTTTGGGTTATTTTTGTCAACTGGTTGGGTTGGGTGAAAGAAAAATTCCAGTGCAAAAAAAGAAACCCCGATAAAAAAAGTCTAAAAACATGCCAAAAATAATCCAAACCTCTGCTTGGAGAGTAGCTGTTTGGCCCTTCCACATGATGATAGCCCCAATCACACAAAAATCCTAAATCTGTCCAAGAATGTCATTCAGCACCAAGGACAGGCCCAGTTCCTACCAGAGCCATGCTGTAACAGCGGTGTCACAAGAGAACAAAACAGAAACATTTATGTCCAGTGTCCGTGGAAATATAATCTTGAGTTTTTCCTTCGTACAAAATTTGAACCACCGCCATTATCTATTGCTGGAAAAGATATCTTTCTATGGAGGTACAACAGTTTGATTTTTTCCTCCATGATCTTTCCAATGATTTCTGATGTTCATTGGCGCATGGCCAAAAACGACATTTGCCTTGATACAACGGATTGTGCATTAAACATATTTAATGTTACTTACGTAGCTACATCCAAACTGTGAAACTACGCTGTAAAATTCAAAACAACATCCTGATTGTGAATTTCACCAGCCTCGCGTGCCGCGTTGCTTCAGAAAAACAGTCACTTGACCTAAAAACAGCGGTGACGTCACCCCTCCAACAACACGTAACCTTACCCTTCTCGGAAGTAGAGCTCGAGGTTACCTCAGGTCAACACGACTGTTGTTGTAGCCTCCATAGCATGCCAAAAACTGGGGGTTTGGGGATCTTTTATGTGATATTTTCTGATAGCATATAGACAACATAGCCGGCCTGGTTGAATTACCCCCGTTTTTAGAACTGGGCTGATCAGAAAACAGCCGAAGACCACCAAACCCCCAGTTCTATAAGCCTGCTGCGGAGGCTATAGTATATGTTGTTGGGTTTAGCACGGCCATACAATGGTCTACAATGCCAACTGTCCCACTAACTGTGCCCCAAAACAAGAAAGCCCGTTCTATGTTATCTTTTTCGGAGTAGGAGGTCGGCCTGATTGATCAATTATTGATGATTATTGGCTTGTTTTTTTGTGGCAATTTGTCTGAGACGCCACGACGCTTGTAAACAATACCAGGTCAGAAACCTCAAGAAAGCCTTGAAAAATCTCGTTTCTCGTAGAAGTCTATATCTAATTCTTCAAGTTCACTGTATGACATTGGTCAAACGATCCAAGACAACAAAGAGTCAAAGCAAAGGGCCTCCTTGGAAATCAGCTATTGGCTGAAGGAGCTACCCAGGTGTCATTGAAGATTAAATAAAAAAAGACACATTTATATGCTTGATCTGGCCTATCCTGGCTGTGCATATATGACGTTTCCTTGGCCATATCTTATGCTAATCTCCAAGCAGATGTTTTGGTGGCTACAACAAAGTATCAAATTGGCCAGGCCGTATGCGCGCTCGACCTAATAAAACGACACCGTTACGAACACGAAAGCGCGATAAAACACCTAAAAATGCGTCAAAAACAAGCCAAACTGCAAACCTCTGCTTGGAGGGTAGAACATACCTGTTCCGGTTCCTTTATTTTTACAATAACTGAAAAGCGAGGAGAAGTTGAATTTATATAAGGATAGTCAGTTTCTTTTGCATCTGTTAACTGTATCCGTTCACCTTATTTTGCTGTGACCTGTACTTATGATAGCCAAATGTGGCAAAAAATGTGCAATAAAGGTCTTCATTCATTCTTGAAAACTGGCGCGTAACACCAGTGGCTTTGTGGCGTGACCCAGAACAACAAATGGTATCGGGTTACCTGGTTACTACAGGTCACGTTGTTACTGATACTGTCGTTAACTGTAGGTCAACAACCTACTAGTAGGCTAGGGCGCTGTGACCTGTAGGGCTGTATTTGTAGGGCCTTGCCATACTTTACTGAATGAATGAATTGTCACCACTCGCAGGCTAGAAAATAAATATATCATGTGAGTTGGGCACTTGTGGCACGTTTGTTGCTTGCTATTCTGCTCTAAAAGTAATAGTCTACTTGTAGCCAAGGGCAAGGACACGAACTTTACACACTTGTTACACTGTAGCTAAGCGTGTCAACATGTAGCGTTATGTTGTGACACGAGAATAACTTGCACGTGGCCCGTCCTAATGTTACACACTCGTGCTAGTCACGTCCATAATCGTACAAAATTGTCGATTTCTGTTTTCTGAACTTGTTTTCGCATATGATGACTTGGTTGTTGAAAAACTCAAATAAAAGGTGGCACAATAAAAAGGTGGTACCACTACCCCACCCACCCACAACTTGAGGTCACTACCGGTCAAAACCTGTTCGTTCAACTCGGCCATTGTTCGCGGCACGGAACATTATACGTGTTCCATGGCACGTTTCAAGTCATAGCTATAGGCCAGGCCTGCTATAGGCGATATGTGGTAGGGGCCACAGTACGATTTTGATGTCGGGCAGAATTCTCAAGAATGCCCCAAGTTTGCGATCGTAAAAGTAAAGCAATGTTGTCGAACTGCTAACGTTACATGTAACGTATCTTAAAATTGCTACTGATTTCATATGCGTTATTATGGGTACCATCCTACTTGTATGCCGGGGCTCCCACACTCGCTTCAGGGAAGCTTCAGGGAAGCTTCAGGGAAGCGAGTGTGGCAGCCCCGGCATACAAGTAGTATGGTACCCAGGCTAATGCGTTATAATGAATGAATGAGTGAGTGAGTGAGTGAATGAGAGAAACTGAGAATGAATGAATGAATGAATGGTAGGAAATTGCATTGCTTAAACTGTAGGAGGATGTAAGAATTTTTGGCTTATCACACAATAATTTCTCATGGAAAGGATGAAATTATTTGACAGAAGATATCAGTTGACTCGGAATTCATGGTGCTAATATAGGAATGTAGGGGTTGACCAGCAAAATGGAATTTTTTTCTCAGTGCAAAAGAGAAACCCCGATAAAAAAAGGCCTAAAAACACGCCAAAAATAACGCCAAACCCAAACCTCTGCTTGGAGATTATACAAAATGAGCTTGTCAACACTTGTAACGCACGTTGGGTGTTGCGGCCACGTGTTATTGTAGACACGTGGTGTTTCAGTGGGTTAGGAAAGCACGAGCGCACCAGATAAAGCGACACCAGGAACAAAAGCCTGCCCACAACAAACACCTAGACTTAATCTGCGCTTAGCCAAAACAACCTCAATGACCACTAGCACCTACCAGGCACCGCGGAACGCTGGAAAAATAGTAGAAATTGGCCGAAATAAAGGGATTGTATACCAGAGAAGATCCCGGGCCCGTGGGTCGCGAATTGGATCTTCTATGGCGCGGGATCTTCTCTGGTATACTATCCCTTTATTTCGGCCAATTTCTACTATTTTTCCAGCGATCCGCGGTGCCTGGTAGAAGCTATAAATGACCACTAGAGTGATATGTACGGCGCCAAACGGCCACTTAGATACCTGAGTAGTAAAGAGAAATTTATAATCCTTTATGCATTTACATTTTATCTTTTGATATCTTTAGTAATACCTGTTAACACTCGCCTCTTGAGTTGAGCGGGCTACGTGTATATGGGTCAGGCTTTGGGTCCTAGTGGTTGTGGTGGTGTGTTATAATGAGCTTAATTCACTTTACATCATATCATATATAATACTGTGATTTTTATTTTATTTTATTTTATACTATGGCTGAATTCTCGTACGCGGAGGCGACTTACAAGAAACTAGCTCTCACCGTCCTCCGCCGAAAATAGGGCATGACTTAAATTAAGAGACTCGGTAGCTATAATAGCCTTGGATATCAGGCCAACAAGAAGTTGCATACAGTATGAGAACTGCTTTAATACACAAACACGTATAATGGGGATCATATATATATAATTAGTGTCTTCATTGTTATAGATCAGCTTCTTAGAACAGTTAGAACTCATCTAATTTAGAACTATT